AGCATTGCTAGTGCTCTGTGTTGTCATTAAATGGGTTGTGGGCTTGTTGGGCCCGAGCCCATTTATGTTAGTGGCTATGTTGGACCTAATGGGTCACACACTAACATCTTAATGTCATGATGATATAGCATTAAAGGTACATGGTATTGTTAATGGGCTTGGATGGTCCAAGACATTACTAATTAATTTAATTAGTTAAATTAATTATCAAATATTTAAATTTTTAATTTTTAATTTGAAATTTGACTTTTGAAATTTGAATTTTGAAATTCGATTTTTGAATTTGAAATTTGAAATTTGAATTTTGAAATTTGAATTTTGAATTTGCATTTTGAATTTTGAAATTTGAATTTTGTATTTGAAATTTGAATTTGAATTTGAATTTAGAATTTAAATGTTTGAACGTTTGAATTTAAATGTTTGAATTCGAATTTGAATTGGCTATGAAAAGTTGTTTCATAACAAAAGGATAAGATGAGATCTTGTTGGAACAAATCCCTTGTATCAAGAGAAGATCTATGGAGATCTCCAAGTGCTGATTTGGGGTGCCATTTGGTGGGAGATGATTGTCATCTTGTCAAACCAACAAGCTCCAATCAGATTTTGTTGTTGAGAGAATCAGTGAGCTAGTTGGTTCAAACTTGAATGCAACAACTCAAATGTATCTGGACCCTTTTTGGGCTGAATAGGGGCGCATGAATTGGTGGTCATATGATGACCATTGGTTCAGAATTTTGACTAGATAAAGACCTAGTCTTATGAGGATTCAAAGGGGAGGTTGTAGGGATTTTTGAATTGCAACAACTCCACCTGTGTCTCACTCACATGTGCGCCACTTTCATTATAAGTAAAGTAAAATTCTGATTTGATACATGAATTCTCTCCCTCTCTTGTGCGCCTAGTTGGTGAGTTCCTCCTTAAGGTTTTTCAAAAGAACCTAGCCAATTATTCTATATACCATTCCCACTCTTGTGAAGTTTTCATGTTGGAGACTTCACTCTTCTAAACACATATACCTAGCCTCCTTCTTCACCTATTGAGCGCATAGCAAGCCTCTCTGTGGTGGTCAATTGGTGGCTTTCAAGAAAGCGTTCTTGCAACTTGATGTGGGTGGTGTGGATCAACGTTAGAGGGTTTGAACCCTTCAAACCTAACACTGATCGTCTTGGAGTTTTGAACTCACAAACAAAGGTAACATCACATGCCATAAAGCATGATTCTTGATTGCATGTGTAATTCCGCACATGAAAAATTTTGTTTTTCCCTCTCACATGCTACGGACTTCAAGGCCATTTTACTTTCACAAAGTACCCTCCTCAGGTGTGCGACCTTCCCACTGAATCTTCAACATGGGAATAATTTTACTTCTTAGCCTCTTTTCGCTGCGGTCAAGTATCTCAATAGGACCAATGGGAGTTTACAAGTTCTCCCGGATTTCAATATCATCCGGTATCACCACGTGTGATTCATCCGGAACATACCACCGCAATTGCGACACATGGAAGACATCATGTAAATTAGACAATTGAGGGGGAAAGGCAAGCTGATAGGCCACCAATCCTACTCTTTTCATAATCTGATACGGCCCAATGAAACGAGGACTCAGCTTCCTCACACCCAAGGCACGGCCAACTCCCGTGACCGGAGACAACCTCACAAATACATGGTCACCTTCTTCAAATTCTAACGGTCTGTGCTTATTATCATAGTAACTTTTCTGCCGACTCTGTGCCTGTTTAAGCTTCTCTCTGATCATTTCAATCTGTACGGTAGTTTCTTGCACAAAATCCGGCCCAAATCTCTCTTTATCACCTACCTCAGTCAAACAAGTAGGAGTAAGACATCTCCACCCATACAAAGTCCCATACGGTGCCATGCCCAGACTGGAATGAAAACTGTTATTATATGAAAATTTCACCAATGACAAATATCTGTCCCAAGCAGTACCCTGCTCCAATGTGCAAGCTCTCAGCATATCCTCAAGTGTCTGTATGGTCCTCTCAGTCTGACCATCAGTCTATGGGTGATACGCAGTGCTCAGCCTGAGCTGAGTGCCAAAAGCCTGTTGCAATGCTCCCCAAAAGCGTGAAGTAAACTTCGGGTCCCGATCGCTTACAATACTAATCGGTATCCCATGGAGCCTCACAATCTCATTTACGTACAACTTTGCTAACCTCTCTGTGGTGAAATCCACTCGTACTGGCAGAAAATGGGCAGACTTCATAAGCCTGTCCACTATAACCCAAATTGAATCGTAACTAGCCTGAGTCTGAGGTAAACCAACAACGAAATCCATAGAGATGCTCTCTCATTTCCACTCTGGTATATCCAATGGCTGCAGTAAACCAACAGGTTTCTGATGTTCTATCTTGACTTTCTGACAAGTTAAGCACCTTGATACATACTCAGCAACATCCTTCTTCATCCTAGGCCACCAGAACTTAGTCTTCAGATCTTGATACATTTTTGTGACACCTGGGTGGACAGCATACTGACCCTTATGGGCCTCAACCATTACCTCCTCTGCTAACTCCTTGGGCACAACAATCCTGCCCTGATACATTAATAACCCCTGTTCATTCAAAGATATCCCACTCTGCCCTTTCAAATACTTGATACTGTCATTTCGTACCTGTGTTTCTTTAATTTTCTCATATAATTCATTTTCCACCCGTAAACACTCAAATTCATCCATGCTACCTATAAAGACATCCGTCAATTTGAAATCACGGAATTGTTCAATCACTTCATTATCCCACAACATTAACTGGGACACACTAACAGATTTCCTACTCAAGGCATCTGCCACCACATTAGCTTTACCCGGATGGTATTTCAACTCAAAATCATAATCTTTTAAAAATTCAACCCACCTCCGCTGTCTCATGATCAGCTCTTTCTGATCAAACAAATGTTTCAAGCTCTTATAATCACTGAACACAGCAAATTTCATCCCATAAAGAAAGTTCCTCCAGATTTTTAAGGCAAACACAATAGCAACAAGCTCCAAGTCGTGCGTCGGATAATTCTCTTCATGAGGCTTCAATTGTCCAGAAGCATAAGCAACCACTATCTCTTCTTTCATCAACACACTCCCCAAACCTTTCTTGGAAGCATCACAGTATAATACAAACTCTCCTTCCGGATCAGGAAGAGTCAACACAGGAGCAGTAGTCAATTTCTCTTTAAGAGCCAGAAAACACTTCTCACATTCCTGGGTCCACACAAAAAGAGTATCCTTTCGTGTCAATCGGGTCAACGACAGTACCATTGTGGAAAACCCCTCTATAAATCTACGATAATACCCAGCAAGACCCAGAAAGCTCCTGATCTCAATTCCAGTCTTAGGTCGTTCCCAGTCAATTACTGCTTCAATTTTGTTTGGATCCACTGCAACGCCTCTAGCAGAAATAACATGACCCAGAAATTGTACCTCAGATAACCAAAATTCACACTTAGATGGCTTCGCATACAACTTTTTATCTTTTCATACCTGCAGCACAATCCTCAGATGCTCTGTATGCTCCTCTTTACTTTTAGAATAAATTAAAATGTCATCAATGAACACAATTACAAACTGGTCCAAATACGGTTTAAAAATGCGATTCATATAGTCCATGAACACCGCAGGGGAATTTGTAAGCCCAAAAGGAATCACCTGATACTCGTAGTGTCCGTATCTCGAACGGAATGCCGTTTTAGGCCCATCCTCCGGCTCAATCTGGATCTGGCGGTATCCGGACCGGAGATCAATCTTAGAAAATACACAGGCACCCCTCAACTGATCCAGCAAGTCATCAATACACGACAATGGGTACCTGTTCTTAACCGTAACCTTGTTCAACTGTCGGTAGTTGTAACAGCCCGTTACGTACCGGTATTGTTAACATTAATTATGATATTAAGCGCAGTTACAATCACAGCAGTTCATTTATAAAACGCGAATAAATTTTTTTCCGATTATTACGCGAGCATTTAAAACATAAAAAGGCGTAATAATTAAAAGCTGTGACCGTAACCGTAAACTCTTGCGGAAGACTTATTTAAACTATTTTTATCACTTACGTTACTTATTATAAGTTACTAAGGAGTTCCCATAAACTCACTTAGCCAATTTCCAACTTTACGTCTTTTACCAATTCGAACATGTTTCACTCTAAGTTTTTCTGCGACCAAACCGATCGCAACCAACCCTTCTTCTCAGATTATATCTTTGTGTTACTTAATTCCCTTTTTAACAAGCTAACATACGCTCAATTCGGAGCTCATTTGCTCCGGTTATCGCCGTTTGAAGTTGGATAAGCAATTAGCCCAAACAACCCCAAAAACAGCTCCAAACCACTCACATTGCTCGAATTACTGCACTCAATCCCCTCAACCAAGTACTCTCAAATTTTTATCCTACAAACTAGACATCTCAAACTTCATTTTGATATATCACACACTCAATTTGACTGAGAAACGAAGCGGGAATTAATTTCCCAAATCCGGTCCAGAATCTGCCTCAGGTGCAGGGGCACATGAGCAGTCCGCGTTTCTCTATTTATTTCAGGCCGAAGATCAACCCAGAATTTCCTCAAATTTTGACACAAGGTAGAGGACATCTCAACCTTCAAAATGGCGTATGGCACGTCCCTAGGGGACCTCTATGGAGGGAGATATGCTCTCCCGAAATTCGCCTAAAATCTGCCAATTCTACAGAAAATTCGCCAGAGTTTCCTTTGTTTTTCCAATAATCCCAAATTTGTAAAAGATCATTTAAACCTCAAATGTACCTAATAAACACATGATAATACAGTAATAATCCAATGGGCGGCACACACAAGGACCAACAACGCCTTGGGGCACTTACAACCCAAACCAGTTTATAGTTATTAAACATAGAGTCCATATTAATCATTCTTAAGTAGTTGCAATCACTAACACCTTTTTCATGCATATTTCCATCATACATATTATCATAACCTAAAATAGGCCTAAGGCCCTTCCATCATAATTAGACATGCATCAATACTATTACAATATGGCTTTACAAATTACAACTTGAAACTAAAACTTCAAATTACATTCTTCTAAAATTTCAACTTAATTTAAAAGACAACATAACCAAATACATCACTACTAGACTTAGGCAAAATGGCATGAACAAGATGCTAATGAAGCTACTAATAAATACAAATGACATGTTCATGCCCTAAGTCTAGCCTAGGCCACACAGCCAACAAAATGCAAAATAAGAAACGCTCCATCGCTCACTCTGCGAGCCTCTTGCCCGAGGCTCCTGCTCCATTGCTACCTCCTGAAATAAATGCCCCGAGACGGGGTGAGATATACGAATATATCTCAGTAACCAAGAGGTTCTGGAGAAAACTCCACCCAATGGTTCACTTCGATGCATATCAATAGAATACAACAACCACTTTGAAAACGGGATATAGCAAGGGATTTAGAGAATGGGGAATATAAAGAAAACAAAATACGACGATACGGGATGGTAACCCCAATTCCACGTACGCCCTCGGCATATATAAGCCTATGGGTATCATCCAAGGTGTGTTCACAGAAACCACAACCATGATGCCCAAACCAACCAAAACGCCAAAGACATTCCTAGTGTGCTCCTACCCGGATCACACACCATGACACGCGGTCAACTGGAACTCCCTCCTGGAGACCTATCCAGCGGAAGTCCGAAAATGCCCGAAGGCTAATAAAACTGTCTACTGGCCAGAGACTCGGTACCGCAGTACCCATAGCAATAATGCATGCATGCTCATGTGTTCTATACTATTCATACACACTTCCTACTGTTGCCATCAACTGGCAAGGTGGAACAGAAAATGGGAACAAGCCCCAGTACCAAGAGGTTACCTTAATTCGTGTTTCCACAAGCTCCGCAGCAGCTTATCCCTCAACTCGGTACACAGCGGAATGCCTACACAGAGGACATTCCCAATCACTCTCAGTTCAACCCATACATGTTAATTTATAATTACACATGCAATGAACCAATTTCTTACCTCAATCCACTTGGTCCCGGACCAAGGGCAATTCACTGATTCAAGATTCGGGATTCAGGTCGACGTACGAAAACCTATACAATAACGTACATCCATCAGTACTCATCAAATAGTATCAAAACGCAAAAACACAAAAATCCTCCCCATCCTCCCTTGATGGTTCGGCCATTGTAGTGTAAATTTGAGATTTATTTTCCTAAATTTTCTTTCTCATTTTATAACACTCCCTTAGGTTGTTTAGAGGCTAGTTCAATCGTCGTTTTTTTCGTTTTCCGACATTTACGCATCGTTTTGCGAAATATTTCATTCTGGGCTCATTTAGGTCTCTAACACAATTCATTTTTTTCCATTGATTCAAACACTCTCCAAGCACAACACAACCCATCTAAGCACCATATAACTACACAAATCATCATCCAAATCATTTTTCAACATCAATTCCTCAATCTTTCCTCAAAGAATCGAATTTTACCCTATGGCATTCCAAGGAATTTCCATACAACTTTAATCATTCCACACCTCATACAATCCTATTATATCAACATACAATCATACAACAACTCATCAATCCAATCCTAACACATTTTCAAAACTCAAAGTCATGACAACCTCAAAATTTTCTAAGTTAAAAATTCACATTTTTCATCAATAATTTTTATTGCATTTATGGCTACTACACATCATTCTAAGACACATTCATGTACAAACATTTTCCAATTGAGCTCTCTAAACACATCAATCCAACAAGCCCTCTTTAGGGTTCATAAATTCAACCACAAAATTAAACCATTGGAACACAAGGAAACTCACCCAAAAGCTAGGCACAAGGCTCCTCCTAAACATACTCCACCATTGGAGCATCAATCAACACCATTTTCACAAATCTAAAGGAAAGGGCCGCAGCTTTGGGGAGGGTTTTTCTCAAAATCTAGTGGCTTTCAAGGCTTGGGAGTACCACCAATGGATTTAGAAGGCCATTTCCATCAAATTTCAAGACAAGAATCAATGGATTTGGTGAAGAAATGGCTAAGTTATGGTGAAATGAAATCTTGGAGGGGAAGGGCTATGGTGGCTGCGGGTTTGAGCAAGAAGAGGGAGGAAAGTGATGCATGAATAGTGCCAAGCACATGTGGCTTAAGTCACTTAAGTGGGGTGGGTCCCACCGCCACCTCACGCGATTTAAAACTAATCCGAATTTTCCTCCGATTCCACTAAACGTCCGTAAATTCACAACCTATTTAGAAACTCAAATTTTTAACATTAACTATTCCCCTTTAATTAGGCTTGATCAGATGAATTAAGAGTCCTCCATTCGTTCGGAGAAAACACGGTTTTAAGCTATTATGCGCGCCATTGGCACGCTTCCCCAAACTGTCTTAATTTCATCGAATATTATAAGAAATCATATTTCCTAACTCATTAGACCATTTTTAACTCATATTTGAAACCTAGAGCTCAAAACTCAATCGACACGTTTTACGGTGCAATCGTACCGCGGTATTTTTACCCGTGAAAAACACTATTCACTGATTTTTCTGAAACTTGCATGTCCACTCAATTTTTCGTTCTGAACCCATTTCCAGGGTTATTTTTACCATCTGAGACCTTCTACTCCATTTTTATCTTCCTAGGGTTGCGTGTTGGCTAATTACCGTTTTGCCCTTTCTTTGTATTTTGGCCTTATCTTTAGGATTTTCACTAATCCATCACTTGATTGCTCACTTAATATTTTAATTACTTGATTTAAAATTGTGAGGTGTTATAGTAGTCAGTACACAATCTCATGCTTCCATCCTTCTTTTTCACAAATATAACCGGTGCTCCCCACGGAGACACACTCGATCTAATAAAATCCTTTGCAGATAATTCCTCAATATGTTTCTTCAATTAAGTCAACTCCAGTGGAGACATCCGGTGTGGAGCCAGGGAAATCGGCCCCACACTAGGCAACAATTCAATCGAGAACTCAATCTCTCTCTCTCAGGTGGAAATTCCGGTATCTCATCAGGAAAGACATCCACAAACTCATTAACCACCGGAATACTAGAAATTTCAATCTCCTTACCACCCACCAATCCACCCAAGAAAACATAACCCAGATCACCAGCCTTCAAGGCTCTAACTGTTTGACAGACAGACAGAAAAGGAGACGGACCAACCGAGGGTTTCTCGTGAGATAATATTAACCTCTTGCCGCAGCAATCAATCATTGCGCAGTTTTGAGATAACCAATCCATCCCCAGAATTAAATTAACAGAGGCCAGGGGAAATATAGTTAGATCAATGGTGTAACCCCTGCCTTCGTACATAAACTCTACCTTTTCGCATTTCCAGGATGCTTTACTATCCTCTCCGGTAGCAGTAGTAATACGCATTGGAGGATTCATTTTTGTTAACCTTAAGCCCAACGCATCAGCCACATATCCCGCCACAAAGGAATGTGTCGCTCCCAAATCAAACAACACAGACAAATCGATATTAGAAATGAAAATTATACCTTTTACCAAGTTCGGGGCCTTTTCAGTATGTTGCGCATTTGTAGTATACACCCTTCTAACCATAGGAATGGCAGCAGCAGCAGCAGTAGCAGTAGTAGTCGGTAAGGCCTGCAGATTCAGTAGAGCCTCAAACTCGTGCCAATTTTAGTCACGGTATTAGCATTGGTGCCTCTTCTGGGGTACCTTCAGGTGAGCCTGTGAGGCCTGCAGATTCGCAGCCTGTCCCGCAAAAGATGGACAACTCCTAGTAAAATGGCATGTCTGACCACATTTAAAACAAGCCCCCGGGCCAGCACCACATATACCTTTGTGGTATTTCTTGCACTTCCCACACTGTGGGGTATAGTATCTATCAACAGCTCCACCACCTGGGGCTGCACTCCTCTTGAATTGACCAGGAGGCTGCCTTACTTGCAACCCCCTTCCCTTGTTGTTATTATGATGGTATCCACCTCTATTACTATTTCTAGAAGGACCAGTTGTCCTCTTAATTTCTTGCTCTTTAGCCACATTAGACTTAGGATATCTCCCATAAACAGTTTCGACCCTCTTACATTGGGTCACAAGATCAGCAAAATTCCTCATTGCTGTATTCGACATCCTCTTAGCAATCTTTTCATTCAATCCTCTTTGGAACTTCGCAGAAAGAAATTCTGGAGTAGGTAGAGTACCCCCCCCCCCCAATAATTTGCAAACTTGACTAATTCATTGAACTTGGCCAAATATGCATCCACAGACAATGAACCCTGCACCAGCTTATCGAATTCTCCTTGTTTAGCCTCCCGGACATCACTGGGAAAATATTCTTCATGAAATAGGCCCTCAAACATGGCCCAGGTCATCTCCACCCCTTGAATAGTAAAAGGGCGAGATGCATTACACTAGCATTCGTGTGCATCTCCCTCCAGCATGTACACATAATACAATAACTTCTGAAGATCCTGGCACCTCATCACCTGGAAAATCTTATCCATCCCCATAAGCCAGTTAGTATCCTCCTTCGGGTCCTTTGACCCCATAAATACGGGTGGTTTGTGTTTCCTAAACTATATGAGCCTTCGCTCCAACAATAGCATCATCAACAACTTGCTCAGCAGCACCAAAGGACTGAGCAATAGAAGGAGGATCAACAGAAGGTTGCAGAACATATGTAGGATCCGTAGTGTGGTGGCTAGCCTCACCAGTGTCGTGACTGGCCCCACTCTCCCCCTGCAGAGGAGTAATAGAAGGCGTTGGTGTAGGTGTCACCGTAGTCGTATGTGGAGGAGAATCGTCCCTCCTACGATGATCTCTATCAGCCCTCATCTCAGTCATGAAGGAAGTCATCATATCCTGATTGTTTTTCATTAGGTTTTCAGTCATGGTCCTATTCACGGACGTTTCCGCCTGCAGAGCATTAAGAACTATAGTAATCGGATCCGGCGGCTGAGGATCTGCACCTCGTGTCCCACGGTGACCACGAACTCTCCTCATGATATCTGTACATGTAACACAAAGGAATGAGTTGATCAGACTCACACAGAGGAATCACATATACATTAATCAGAAAGAGTTCACAGATAGCTATGCAACAAAAGACACAGTCATACATACTCAGAGTTTCCTAACCAAAACTGCTCTGATACCATAAAATGTAATAGCCCGTTACGTACCGGTGATGTTATCATTACATATGGTATTAAGCACAGTTACAATCACAGTAATTGAGTTAATTAAATTACGGGTAAACTTTTTTTCTTTGAATAAATCCTCATTGTTAAACATTAACCATTTATGTAATAATTAAAAAAACACCGTAATTGTAACGCAAGACTCGCGGAAGTATAAAACATACTAAATATAATCTCTCCAAGCAGTCCCATTTATTTTAGATTTTACAAAGCACATTTTCAAAATTTAACACAGTGGTAATCGACATGCTTGAGGTAATCGATTACCAAAGGTTACTATAGAAGTCAGAAGCTCAATTTGGGCTCCCCTGATTTCAGGTAATCGATTAATGAACTAGGCAATCGATTACCAATGCTCAGGTAATCGATTACTTTGATCACAGTGGCTCAAATTTTCGTCTTCTGGTTCAGGTAATCGATTACCAATGAAAAGTAATCGATTACTCTGCAGTAAAAATGACAGATGACAGCTTTAAAGACCCATAATGAGCGATATAACTTACTCCTAACACCTTGATACTTCATATACACCTTACACAAGTCCTAATGTAGGCTCTAGGCCCTTCGATCATGCATATTCATTAATCAATGCATCATTTGCAATATTCTCAATATCATAACAATTTTACACATCAAATGGTCTATTTACAACACAAGTTTTCCAATGCCTTAAATACAACATAGGTGGCCATGGACAAGTCCCATGCTCACTCAAATACAATTATAAACAAGAGGTATAATGTAAATCAAATACAAAAGACTTAGAATCTAATCATGAACACTACAAAAGCATAGAAAACTCAACATGCAATATGTTCATGATCTAAGTCCAAAATGCTAACATCATACTATGTGCATCAATTAAACTCCTCCAAAATGTCATGCAATCCAAATGCACCTCATGATATAACTCCTCCACTAAGCGGGCCTCTTGCCCGAAACTCCTCCCTGCTCGCTATATGCTGAAATGATGTCCCCCAAACACGGGGTGAGATATATAAATATATCTCAGTAAACCAAGGGTACTAGAGGATGACTTCACCCCATGGCTTACTCAATGTGCACAATTAAACATTATGTAAATATGCATGACATATAATATCACAAACAACTGGGGACAAATCCAAGAACATCCACATTAGGATTTCGTTCAAGGACCCCATCATATAACTCTCGGAATCTTCCTGGTGCCTCTCCCATGGATGAGACGACCCAATGGCAAAACCCAACTGGAACTCCTCATAAGCCCTATCCATCGAAAGTCCCACGTTTGGATCGTCCTGGTACCGCTCCCAGAGTCGGCCCCACGGCAACAACCCGACCGGAATCCCCAAAGGATATCTCTAGCGGAAGTCCAAACCACCACACATCTACTGGCCATAGACCACAAACATCTCACACAAAAGCAAGCAATAATGCATGAAAGTACATAATCACACAATGCCAAAAACACATAATCCAACCACAACCTTCCACTAGGTGTGGTGGAGCACACAAGGGACTAAACCCAAGTTCCAAAGGTTTACCTCAACTCCAAGAGTATTGTTCCAAAACGTACGCTCCAAGTTCAATCTTCCACTATAACGTCCGGGAGAGGCAACCTATATGATCAAACACAATGACCATCAACCAATTGCAAACAACCAATCAATTCCACACAATTTTAAAACCAATTGATAGTCACTTAGGCCTAATGGCCCTTTCCTATTTAATTCAATTATCTTAACTACTTGACTCATCAAAGTAATTCACCAACCCATCCATTATACACTTAATCATCATCCATTGCCTAAACCATATTTTCACATCATTTTTCCTACCAAACACCTATGGTTCGAATTCCTCAAGGAAGCACCCCTCAAGGTTTTCAATTTAACTCAACACTTACACATGTCATAAAATCCTATTATTAACCTATACCAATGGTCCATAATTCAATTATTCAATTACATCACATACCAATTTCATATAGTCTTGAAAACTCAACACAAAATTTGCCTAAGTTAAAATTTCCACATCCCCACAAATTTTATTGCATCAATCATCATCATTTATCATTTTAAGCATTTAATTCCAAATGAGACATACCATTTAATGCTCCTATCTACCCTAACCAAACTTACATCATCAAAACCCTACTAATTTTTATGATCTCAAGATACAATCAAAAAAGGTGTAGAAACTTACCACCAATGGTCTTTAAATGATACAAGGATAGGTTTTCCACCAATTAATCAACCCAAAAGAACCCCAAAGCTACTCATCCACTCAAATTTTCGAAATTTTCATGGAATAAGAGTTCTCCAAACACTCACTTTTGAGGAAAACCTACCACTAGAATGTTGTTCACTAGATGATTTGGAGTGGTTTTGATGTTTAAGGTTTTGCTTCCATGGAAGTTCCACGGTTTGGGAGAGAAGGAGAGGAGAGAGAAATTGTTGAAAAGGTGGTCTTCCAAGTCACTTAAGTCACTTAAATCCTTAGGTGGGTCCCACATGCAAATTAACTTTAATAATTCACCTAATTTAAACCACAAATTCATAACCTATGTATTTTTAGCGTTCACGTCATATTTTTGTTTCCTAAAAATACTAATCAAAATTTCATGTTTATCGGTACAATTATACCGCTGTATTTTACACCGAAAAAAATCACTACTCACCAAAATTTTCGAAACTTGCCCATCCTCTCGATTTTTCGTTCTGAATCCATTTTCGGCCTTATTTTTGTCGTTTGAGACCTTCTACTCAATTTTTTATGCCTAGGGACACGTGTTTGGTAAATTACCATTTTGCCATTTTTACGTATTTTGGCCTAAATTCCCGGATTTTCACTAATCCTACCCTTTTAATCAATATTATAACATATCAATATTATAATATATCAATATATATTTAGAAATACGAGGTGTTATATTCACCCCACCTTTTAGAAATTTTGTCCGCAAAATTAAATCATACATGTCCGCTAACTCAGGATACAGTCGGAGAATCTCATCGTCCCGCTCCCAAGTAGCCTCCTCAGGTGTGCGACCTTCCCACTGAATCTTCAACATGGGAATAATTTTACTTCTCAGCCTCTTTTCGCTGCGGTCAAGTATCTCAATGGGACCAATTGGAGTTATCAAGTTCTCCCGCATTTCAATATCATCTGGTATCACCACGTGTGATTCATCCAGAACATACCGTCGCAACTGCAACACATGGAAGACATCATGTAAATTAGACAATTGAGGGGGCAAGACAAGCTGATAGGCCACCAATCCTACTCTTTTCATAATCTGATACGGCCCAATGAAACGAGGACTCAGCTTCCTCACACCCAAGGCACGGCCAACTCCCGTGACCGGAGACAACCTCACAAATAAATGGTCACCTTCTTCAAATTCTAACGGTTTGTGCTTATTATCATAGTAAATTTTCTGCCGACTCTGTGCCTGTTTAAGCTTCTCTCTGATCATTTCAATCTGTACGGTAGTTTCTTGCACAAAATTCGGCCCAAATCTCTCTTTGTCACCTACCTCAGTCCAACAAGTAGGAGTACGACATCTCCGCCCATACAAAGCCTCATACGGTGCCATGCCCAGACTGGAATGAAAACTGTTATTATATGAAAACTCCCATTGGTCCCTTTGAAATACTGGACCACAGCGAAAAGAGGCTGAGAAGTAAAATTATTCCCATGTTGAAGATCCAGTGGGAAGGCCGCACACCTGAGGGAGCTACTTGGGAACGGGAGGATGAGATTCTCTGGTTGTATCCTAAGTTAGCGGACTGATATGATTTAATTTTGCAAACAAAATTTCTAAAAGGAGGGGTGAATATAACATCTCGTATTTCTAAATGCATGATTATATGTGATAATGTTGGTTAAAGTGGTAGAATTAGTGAAAATCTGGAAATTAGAGCCAAAATACGTAAAACGAGCAAAATGGCAATTTACCAAACACGTAACCCTAAGCATAAAAAATTGAGTAAAAGGTCTCAAATGGTAAAAATAATGCCGGAAATGGATTCAGGACAAAAAATCGAGTGGATAGGCAAGTTTCGGAAAATTTGATGAATAGTGATTTTACCGGTGTAAAATACTGCGGTATAATTGTACCGATAAGCGTGACAAAATGATCAGTATTTTTAGGAAGTAAAAATATGACATGAACGAGAAAAATACGTAGGTTATGAATTTGTGGGTTAAATTGGGTGAATCAAGAAAATTAAATGACGTGTGGGACTCACTTTAAGTGATTTAAGTGGTTGGAAGCCACCAAACTCACAAAAATTTGACTCTCTCTCTCCTCTCTTTCTTCTCTAACTCGTAGCCTTCTCTTCCATAGGCAAAGTTTGAGTTCAAACTTTCTTCCAACCAAAACATCATCAAATCCTCTTCAAATGTCAAAGTGTTGCACATCAAAGTTTAAGTAAATGACATTCTAAACCCAACCATAGCACTCTCCACTCTTGAAACTCATTATTTTGGGAGAAAATCATCACCCACTTACACAAAAATTTGAAGAAAAATAAGTGCTCTTGGAGTTGTTGCACTAAAAATAAGTGGGTTCTAAATACACTGAATAACCTCATCATATAAATAAGTGGGTATCTAAGTCATGGAACTACAACACGTAGTCCGGACCATAATCCTGATACATTATACAACTCGAATCTAAATCAACATAGTCAAATTAATGTGGCATGGACAACCTCTCATGCTCACCAAATAAGGCAACAAAGCCC